TCTCCCTCTCCCTCTCCATCTCCCTCTCCCTCTCCCTCTCTCCCTCTCTCTATCTCTCTTAAATTTTTTGTTCGCAGGATGAAGTAACCGTAATAATAAGTAGAAGTATATAATTACTTTATTCTTAAGACAGAGTTGATCTTATGGATAAAGAAACATAACATTTACAGGTGATTGAAAGTACATTAATTTTCTAAGGTAGAGGTGATTGTTTAACCAATCAAGGATTTGTCCACACATCCAATCAGTACACATAACATTTAACAAATATTTAAAAAATATTAATTTAATATTTTTACTCATTAAATAAATAATTTATAAAATATTTTAAAAACATTGTTTGCTGATTACACAATCACGAAATGAAAATGTGTGTTAAAATATGTTAAATAATTTTTGTTTTAAAAATGAGAATAATACAATATATGGTATTGTCTCTTCTTATATGAAGGAATTTCTTCAACTTTTTTTTAATTGCAAAAATATATTTATTTGAATTATTTATTTTACTTATTTAAAAAATGGTTGAGCATACATAGTATTAGAAACGACACTTAAATTCTAAATTTTTTTTCGAAACTTTTCGTCCGATTTTTTGCAATTCGTCACAATGGGAAGGATATTGAACTGAGGAAATTTTCTAAGCATATATACAAATCATCCTAATGTGACACATATTTACATAGCTTAAAATTCCGCAAGCATTTGTTAATCGGATGTATGCTGGAATAAGCATTTCAAATCCTGATGTAATATTTGAAGTCTAGACCACGTGAACTTTACAAATTAGTTTTGTGAGGTATCCCGTCCAAAATTACGTTTCCTACAAAAAAAAGAATGCAAATCAGGTGCACGAGGTGAATTCAGAAAGCGACTCCTATACAGCAGAGAAGCTTGTAACAATGTTACTGTAACTGAGACACTACCGTGTCTCCAGATATACGTCTATAACATGTTTTATAGATTTATGTAGAAAAATTAATGCATTTTTCATCAAAATTTTTCTCAATTCTAACTTTATTTTAGATATTTGATTAATTAATAATTGTTTGTACATTTTATACCACTTATACATTTATACTACTTTTATACTACTTTATTGTTACTATATTTATATTATTTTGAATTTGAAAGCCTTTTTTACTCAAATAATCAATAACAAATACATTATCTCCTTAATACTCTCACTAAATTTGCTATAATTTAGCTCTTTCGCAGAATTTATCTCGTAATTAATAGGCTAAATTACTATTGAATCTTATTAAACAATTCCATCTTGTCTGCCAGTCATTCGGAAATACCGTGAATTGACGTTTGTAAAGATATAAGGAGCGTTTTCCGTAGGGCAAAGTATTTTCTCTAGTGTTCTTGGCAATCCCCTGTCTGTTTTATTTCCGACAGGCTCCAACATGTTATTCCACAGGAGATTAGCGGCTGAAATTGAAAGAAAGTAAATTAATCACGCAGAAAAAACAAGAAAACGTGCGTCTCTTATTCTATTATTTTTGCGAAAAATAACAATATCAACGATGGTTAGTATGACGTTTTCTATCACCAAGATTCTTGTTGACAACGTCTAAGAGGCATATAACGATACTTCTCAATCACGCCCGCTGATGAGTATGTACACACTCGTTTTTACGACATATGTTATCTGGAGTGGAATAATAATTATTTGTTTGTCCTCGGCGGCGTTGCGAAAATGATTGAATTATATATTCAACTATTTAAATTCAATGAATAATGATTATTAACTAATAAATCTTTATGCATAAATATGCATATAGAGCATTACAATCAGACGTTGTGTATACACTGTTTTACATTTAGTAACAAATTTAATTTAATCTAAGTCACCTCACTACTCCTACTCAAAATATCGTTATAGTAAAACAATAATTAAAATTAGGTTAAATTTTTGATATTAATATCTTATTTTGTTGAGAAAAAATAGCATTAAGGATCATATTGGATGTAATCAATTTAGTCTACATACATATTTCTTTCTTTTTTACAAGAAATGTCAAATTAAACTGGAAAATAAAAAGTGATTTAATATTACCTTTATAAAATTATAAATTTATTAACATATTGATATACGTAAAAATATTAAGAATACACAAAGAAATATTTTCCAAACGATATTGATTAGTTTTTTATTTACTTATTTCTATAATGTTTAGCAGATTTGTATTAAGAGTTATGATCTGGAATAACGGGAATATCAGGGAAACATATCGTAATCGATGTATGTACACTCCGTATACTTAAATAAACGATATTGGTTTTACCTTACAAAGAGTTTCCTCTTTTTGATTATAAATGAAACGATGGAAAAGTAAACTAAATACTAAATGTTTTAACATATAAATACACAGCTGAAATAATAATAAATCGAAATGAATGATATAAGCGGAAATTAAAAACCGTCTCGTATAATATCTGTCGCAATCTGTTATAGACAGTAATTATATGTACCCACAAATACATCTCGACATGTTTCACTTTGTTTTACTGAAATAACCGAATAAATTAAATAAGCAATAAATTGATACAATGAAGTTGAATCTTGACGATTTATTAATATTTATTGAAATTAACCATGTAATTATCCATAAATAGCAGATGGAGTAAATTAAACCATATATAGAGTCTAGTTATCTCTTAGTTTAAACGTCTTATTATAATTACTTTGAAGATTAAAAAGAAATTATATTCAGATCTAGCTAAATGTTTATATATTATATTTTATGAACACCATTCTTTCTTTCGTGTAGATTTATTCTCATAAATTGTTTATTTAATAAACATATTTAAAAAAATATTTGTCAAGTACATAAAAAAGGTATCGATTATATTCCTCTTGATCAAAAAACGGATCAAAACTGAAAAAATACGAAATAAATACGATTAGTCAAGTATATTTCATCACGCAAGACACATAAGATTGCTCATATCATTAATTTTAATTCATATATATTGAAGTTCTGCACTTAAACTTTACAATATTGTAGTTTACATTTTCGTCGTTTTTTTTATAATTAAAGAGAGAAAACTCTTTGTAAGATAAAATTGATATGGCCCACTTGACATACCTACTGAATGTACGTACACTCATAGTGATGTTATGTTTTCCTGATACTTGCGCTATTCAGAACCATAACTTTTGATTTAAATCTACAAAAAATCATTAAAATAAATAAATAAATAACTAAATCAATTATTTGGGAAATAGTTCTTTAGTATATTCTTACATGTCAATACGTTAATAAATTTATAAAGGAATACTATTACTTAATCTGCTTAAATAAGAGGAAATTTCAGGTAGAAAAGGGATCAGCTTGGGTAAAATAATTAAATAAAGACAGATAGATATTATCTGTTTGAGAGTTTATCTGTTTCACTTTATTTTAAAAGCCTTGTTTCTGTTTTTTAAGATCATCTTGTAGAGTAATAAGGTTCTACATCTAAAATGGCAACATTATTCTATTTAAAATTATGATTCGTCTCCACACGATGCGATGATTAAATATCATTGTCAACAGATTTATTAATACTAAAGAAATGTTCTTTTATTTTCGTTTTCAATTATCTTCTTATCTGTCTAACGTAAGTTAATATATAAAATTAAATAGAATTTTACCAATTGTCTAATTTTCGTTTTTATATTTACAATGCAAATTATGCTTTTTTCTTTGCACTCGCGATACATTATACATACGTACACAAACACGCGCGCGCATCACACAAATTCTCTTCCTAGTAAGATGCAACCGTTTTAACATTATGACAATCTTTCCGATTTAACAGGTGCACTTCAATCGATAAATGTCGTAGCAAGTATGCGCCTGTTCAGGAAAGAATATCGTAATATTATAACGGTTACACTCTGTTAGGCAGGAGAATTTGTGCGTATGTGCATGTGTGTGTATGTAAATGTATATATATTATGTGTATTAATGTTACGCATTATTTACTAGGACATGTATCGAAAATATAATAAATAGCTAATAATACTATCATGTTTAATACATATTATGTAATTATTATCCAATATTATTTATTATTTCAATGAAATAACAACATGCATTTAAATGATAAGGATAATCGTGGCTTACCGAGTGCGTGTCCTTTCTGACTAAAATGGAAACAATCATATGTGACCAGACTGGAGTCGATCGATGGAGCGCGTCTAGGATCTGTATTAGGAGCATTAAATAATTTAATGAATGGCTGCAACACCACCGTGAAATCCGGAGAGTTATCATATCTGAAATAATAGTATTTTAATTTTTTTACGATTTATTTTATGAACATAAATAGATATGGATATAATGTAACATGATTTAAAAAACAAATCGTCAAATGTAATGAAATACTTCTCAAGGATATATGATATTGTTATGCCCGTGCCTTGCTGACACCCGTAACGTTCCAAGCCAAGGAATTCGCTGTCCTTGAAACGTTACGGGTGTCAGCAAGGCACGGGCATAACAATATTATAGATTTTGGTAAACAACTCAAAGTTACTAATTAAACAAGACACTTTGATTGCATATTAATCACTGATTATACCTTCCTGAGTGAACTAAAGCTTCAGCAGCCTGTTGATAAAGCTGGGATATTTTCGACGTTTCAATTTCCGGTCGACTACCTTGATGCATGCAGGCACAATAGAGAGGGTGCAATATATTACACATGGTACTTCTTGTTACTCTAATAGAGACCGTAACATCTGTCGCAAAATGATAATAAACAGAATTGAATGAAAATTTAACATTGTATAGTGAATATATAATATTACATATTATATATTATTACATACATTATGCACATATATATATATATATATATACATGGATATATTGTATTGGGTTGGCCTTACTTATACTTGATAAAAAAGTATTTTCATGTATTTGTTTGCCGATCCCTCCAGAACAGTTTCAAATTATATATTTACAAAATAATCTATAAAAATTTATTGCAACCTGTTATTTAATAAATATTTATTATATTATTGATTGATCATTTTGATTTCAGTATTTGCGCACTTTGTAAGAATCTTTCTTTTACGAAATCGCGTTATACTTATATGTACGCGCGCGCGTATACATATTATTAAATTTACTCAAACATACGTATACGTACATATGTAAAGTTACACAAAAATTGTTGAAAATCAGAAAATCAAAGAGTTGTCGACACTTCTTTTCTTCATTCGATTACGCTCGATTTTGATAGGAATTATTTTTTTAAAATTCGAAGCTGTTTCGGGGAATTGAATTCAAAAGTTTCAAGATCAAAAAATAAAAGCCACCCTAATGTGTGTGTGTGTGTGTGTGTGTGTGTGTGTGTGTGTGTGTGTGTGTGATGAATATATTATTAACTCGCAAATGCAGTTTTTTTTAAAGAAAGTGGAAGAGTCAAAGAGTAATATTATTAATTAAAAAATATATATATATATCCATAATAAAAAATGTAAACACATATATATTTTTTATTTATTTAAAATTCTTTTATTTGCATTATTATCTATTGGTTATTATAATATTATAAATAATTTTAAAAAGTTCTTGAAACAATGGATAATTTATAAAAAATGTAATGAATCGGATTTCGAGCTAAAACTTTTAATAATGACTGATGAGATGTCCAGTACATTTTTTACGAAGGCTTATACGCCCGCGGCTATCAAACTGTCTCTCGGAACATACGCTCCCTCGGATTATACATTACCATGTTCGTTCGCCCCCGCGGATTCGTAAATACAATGGACCTTTAATTAAAGAATTAAAGATGGACCTTTCTTTTGAATATAACATAAAATTGAAACAATATAAAACAGAATAATGTATAATACAAGGATCAAGAAAATACGTATAAAGTAGGTTAAGATGATGTTCGCCTACGGCAACAGCTTCAACTAGAATTCTTGGACACTGTAATAACTCTGAAGCTATTCCATGAATGTGTAATGTTACGGAACATAGTTTCCTTGGAATTTTGCTCGTTATCGTTGTCTTCCCACGTAACTCGATACACTCCAGTACACGTAGATCAGTATAATTCTCGTATTTCATCCTGCTCTTGTGCGTTCTATCCCTCTCGCTCCCACCTCACTTGTCCTCCCACTCTACCTCAGCGGGGGGTGGGTGGGGGTGGGAGAGGGGAGATTCCTATTTACTCCGCCTACTTTTAGTGGGAGGAGTTAGGGGAGGAGGCAAGGTATGGAGTGGGTGTAGGAAAGTAGGGGAAGTAAGAAGATGGGGACGGTAGGGTGAGAGTGACGGTGGGAGTAGATGGTGGAAGGGGTGGAATGGAGTGGGTAGAAGAGGAGAAAGGTAAAATGGTAGAGAGATTTGAGGATGGCGTGAGAGTGTGAGTGCACAGTTTATTATAGTCGAGCTTGCTTATGGATTTTTACTTTGCAGGCTCCAATTTTACATGATGGAATTGTTTGATATTTTATGAATACTACCATAAAATTATGCAAAAAAGGATTTGCAAATCATTATTTTGTATATTATTTGCATAAAACATTAGTCTCTTAGAAAATTTAGCAATATTGTAATATTAATACGTATATTTCTGTATTTGAGAGCTTGCAAAAAATTACTATAATCAAATATTATTATCATCAATTATTAATTTATTTATTACCTAGGGCTGGAACCAAATTGACTAGAGTGCGGGGTAATGCGATTTTTAAAAAATCGAGCGTTCTTCGTAAATGTAAGATGTAACGCATTGGTGAGAATTTTTGTGGATCGTAACATTGCGCCGAACAAATGTCGTTAGCTCCAAATAAGATCGTAATAAGCTGATAAAGGAAATATAATACAAATAGTCAAAGTCAAGTGAGAATTATTTTTAAGTTTCTCCATCGATAAGCATATATCACAACAAAGAGACTTTCACATCATAATTACCTTCCAATGTCTTTTTATATTTATTTTGGGATTATTTTTTATTCTTTGCACCAGGATTCTCGCTTGTTGTAACGCATCTTCAGTAGCAGCGACCGGAAAGGCAACGTTCAATTTCGCCGCGGTCGAAATAAATTCTCCCGTGCCCGTAGAATATCCTGTTAATTTTGGATTGAATACCTACAATCATACATCGTAAAATAAAGAATATAAAGTTTTAATTATGCATGAAATATCGGATTATTGTAAATAGTAAGAAACATAATGACAAAACATTACACTTGGAATAGCAGGTGTGTATTATACATAGATTATAATTTCTAAGTTTTTAAACGCATATTGAGTTTTACCCGGACTGTGATCACGCTTCAGTCATTTCTTCGTTTTCCATTTATTGTCATTTATACAGGGTAAGGCATCTAAAACAAGTCATCACCTAAATAACTCGTTTTTGGTTTTTATGTACAAACCCGGTACTATATTTTTATTATTATGTAAATGTTTGTTAATGTTTTCTCGTAAGATAAGATTAAAATAGAAATATATTATGTCTCTTCTTCATCATATATTATATTCTAAACATTGACTATCATTATTTATTGGTATTGTTAGTATTGTTTACTGTATCGCGAAATAAAAACGAAAAAGATCTTCGGAATCATTTTTATAAATTGCGAAGCAAGGATTCTTTTTCGACTTGGTCCTCTTCATTCTGATTCTTTATCTTTTATACTTATATAAAGGTGCGTTTAGACTATCGAGCCGAAAGGCGAGCCGAACCTCGAGCCGAGCCGCGAGCCGCGAGCCGAGCCTCGAGCTGATGAGTTTCGAACCGAAATTATCGAGCTGAACTTCGGAGTCGAAATCAAGTCGAGCTCTAACCAAATTTCACAAGCGTCACAAGCGATCCGTATTTCTTTTTTTTTTTTATAATTTCGGTTCATTAGCTCGAGGCACGGCTCGGCTCGGCTCGAGGCTCGGCTCGCGGCTCGCGGCTCGGCTCGGCTCGAGGTTCGGCTCGCGGTTCGGCTCGATAGTCTAGAAGCACC